ACACTCTTGACTCACTCATCACATTCATCTCATCTTCAAACTTCTCCTCTTCACATTCAAAGATTTGGTCAAAAACTCATAAACACCATTAACACCCACTTCACCTTAAATACCCCATCAAAGCTTCTCTCCATTCATTCCAATTCTGAATTTCATCTTCTCTCTATAAAAACCCTAGAAGCTTAAAACTTCATCAATGGCTTCAAAGAGGCAAGACAAAGGAAAAAAACAAAATGGGTGAAACTTCCGAACCTGCAGAAGCTGAGCAACAACTAATAGTGAAGTCAAGGCGGCTCAATTTCAATACTCGAAACCGACCTCTAATGTCGGTAAAGTACGTGAACCTGACTTTTTTTCCTTCTCCCAACTTTTATTTTCCATAATTGATTAGGGAACAAGGTTTAGAGAAAATGGTTAGCAATGTTGTACCGTTTATCCGGATTTAGTAAAAGAATTTTACTATACACTTGTGATTGGATATAATGAGGAAGGTAATTATGGTCTGGAAGCTGAGGTTAAAGGGGAATTTGTTAATGCAACTGTAGAAAAATTAGGTCGGGTCTTAAAAGATCCATTTACAGGTGCTATGATTAAGACTGGATTTCAACTAGAAGAAGCTCCATGGGATAAGTTCAATACAATGGATTATTATTTTAAAATTTCTAGGATTACTCAAGAGGAATTAACGAGTAAACAAAACCCAGATTCTTTTTGTGCCATCAAGTTGGCGAAAAATTTAATCGTTAGTGACCGGACGTTACATTATATACTGGCTTATGTGTTGCTTCCTAAGCATTCCAATCACTCTCAAGTGAGTGAAATGGAAATGCAATTGCTTTTTGCTATGAAATATAACTTGCAAGTCAACTGGGCGTATGTCATCTTACAACATATGAGACATGCAAGGACTTTAACTAGAGGACTTCCTCACGGAAGGATAGTCTTAAAGATTTTAGAAGCAAGTTATGTTCTACTTCAAAGGGAACCTCACACAAAGATGACATCTAAGGTCAACGAGATTAATGCTTCGACAACAATAAAAAATACCGGAATCATTTTGAATAACAATAGGAGATATGTATACAAAGATGATTCTTCTTCGTCTGCTGCTGCTGTTCTGGCTCTTGAGTAGTGTTACACCAATGAGCTTATCTACAAAAGACTCGTGGCTCTCGACTCCAAAGTTGATCTTAGCATATGGGAGCATCGGAAAAAGAATGACCCTAATGAGAAAGATGTTTAAAGTTATGACCTTGCAGCAACAACAAGCAATGGAACAAGATGATGACGAGGAAGAAGAAAATGAAGATGATGGCGGTGATGGTGATGGTGATGAAGATATGCTTGAAAGTGATTAATTATGTTTTTATCATTTCTATGTTTCTTAGTTTATGTTTAAAACTTAAGTTTTATGTTTCCGCGTTTTATGGTCTATGTTGAAAAATGAAGTACAATTGTTATGTTTGTTTCGTACAAGTACAATGTTTTGTTCGTACAATGTTATGTTGTGTTTTTATTCAAGTATCATATTTTTTTCGTAAACTGTTGTTTGTGTTGTTTCTTATCGTGAAGTTTTCATATTTATGTTTATGTGTAAACTATCCAATTGTTGTGTGTTGCTTTTCCCATCCTTTTTGTTGTTGACAAAGGGGGAGAAGAAATACATGTACTATTCTTGTGCTTTCTAACAAAATTGTGCAGAAATATCAAAGACTCTATTAATCAACGATTAAGGGGGAGCACTATCTGAGGGGGAGCTTTCGAGCAACTGTTAGAAAATTCGGCGGAAAATTAATTTTCAAGTAGAGGTTGTCATCATCAAAAAGGGGGAGACTGTGAAGACAAGCTTCTCAAAGGGGAGCTTTCGAGCAATTGTTAGAAAAGTCGGCGGAAAATTAATTTTCAAGCAGAGGTTGTCATCATCAAAAAGGGGGAGACTATGAAGACAAACTTCTCAACTGACTTTGATGACGACATAATCCACAACATGCAAGGATGATTTTCAAGACTTCAAGATTATATCAAGCTCAAGCAGCTCACTTTCAATTCAATATGTCAAAGTTTGATCAAGAAAGAAGATAAAGTTCGACACAATGGAGGTACAACAATTTAAGCATTTATATACCTTACTCAAGTGTTCAAAACTTAATCTCCTTCTTGCATTGCATAAAAAACTTTTTAAAATAAAATTATGCACTTTGCCTCAATTTTGGAAAAATTGGTTTCTGGAAAATAACACTGAGTAACCGGTTACCCTATCCTGGTAACCGATTACTTGCTGCAGATTTTCAATTTTTGGTTACATTGGAGGCAGGTAACCGGTTACCCACTTATGGTAACTGATTACCACTGGCGCTGCAGGCCAGAAAGTTGCATCTCTTGGATTGAAAAATATTTTCTTCTTCTTCTTGAACCATGACATCTTTTGATGATTTTAGCCATTCTGAAAGGGTGTTTAAAGGCCTATATATACCTCTAAACTCAGTTTTTTTTAAAATCATCTTCTTGCATAAAATTTTCAAATATTTTCATCTCTTATTTTTCATATTTTTCAAATGTCAAAATTCTGAAATTTTCATACAGTGAAACTTGCATTCTCAAATTTTCAGAAATTCATCTAAGTTTCATTCTCTTATATTTGAACACTTGATAAGTTATATAGAGGTGGAATATCAAGAGAAAGATCAATCGAAAGATTGATAATTTTGAAGACATTTTCAACACTATTCAAACAAATTATTCAAGTATTTTTTGATTACATTATTAAGTGTTCCAGGATTGTTTGAATTAAGATTGTAAGGACTGTTACCTTGCTGTTCAGGATTGTTGGAAGCAAGAGGTCCACATTGAGAGGATTGTTCTCATTGAACTTAGTTGGAAAAATCCCAGAGTGTGTTCTTGGTGGTTTGATTGTTTAGAGTCTGTATAGAAAGACTAGGTAGAAATTCTTGTCTAGGATCTAACAATTATTAAAAATCTCTTTCGTGTTGAAAAGGGACTGAAGTACTCTCGAACTGTGAGGAGAACCATGATATCTTGCCGTGTCACTTTTACTTTCCGCAATTTACCGCATTCCTCACTTAGAAATTTTTAGAAAAGTAAAACAAGAATTCTACCACAAAACTGGAGAAAATTTTTAAGTACCTAATTTACCTCACTCTTAGGTGCATTCCACTCTTACAAACTATTGCATACGAAGGGTTGAGTTTTTTCAAACTCTTAATAAAGTTCAATGTTGAGAATATATATTTCAAGTAAAGTAGATACAATATGAAATTCGTCTATGTGAATTTTGAGAATGTGTCGTCTCAGTGAAGGTTGGAGTTTCTCTCACAATAAATTCACGAGATCAGAAAAGCATGTGGCCTTAAATAGTGATAGGCAAGAGATATAAGAAAAAAAACATTAAAGAGTGTGTGTAAGGTAACACCGATCTAATAACAAGGAATAACATTTCAAAATTTTGCTATTTGAAATTTCAATTAGATTTTGTACTGTCTTTATTAAGGTTGAGTTTAAATCAAAAAATATTTAATTATATTAACATTTTTATTTTTGAAATTAATCTTGTCATTATTAGAATAAACTGAGAGATTGTTGTAATTATTAATTAATAATAAAAATCTAATTAAATACATAATCATTGTTATTTTCCAATAATGACATGAGATCTTGTAAGTGAATAATGACATGAGATCTTGTAAGTGAATAAGTGATCCAATAAGAACATGACTACTTGTAAGTGAATAAGTGATTAGTTAGATATGAAAGAATTTCATTATTATCTAAATATTATTACCTGATCATATAAATATGATGCCTTTACAATGATTGACTAATGAAATGCAAGCTTGACATATCAATTTGGCAGATGACTCTAGAGTACCAAAGGAAACACATTGCTCATTGGTAGTACCATGGCCTAACTAGCACTATCATGAAACAGTAAATGAATAATTGGACACAACTTGACGTACAATTGGATTGTAAAATGCAACAGAAATGGTGAAACAAATCTAAAATGTGCATAGGTATTGAGCTTGGCAGAAAGTAAAAATAAACACGAGGCTTGGAGTTATGTCTTCTACATCCTCAGTCCTCACTAAGATGATATAATTGCTAGGACCAAGCTTAATGAAGCAGCAACATAAAGTGTACAACAGTTTTTAGAAAAGGAGAATCAAAACTCTCATTTGAAAACTCTATTTTCTCTCTTTCTCACTGATTCTATGGAATGTATCTCTTCTCTACTTTTACAAGGATACATTACTTTAGCCTATACACTCTTCCAATTAAAAAAAGTTACGATATTCATTACAAACAAAACACCAGCTAACTTAACCAACAAGCTAATAAGGCCTAACCAAGAAGATCCACCAGAACAGACAATAGTTAGTGACATGCAAATGTAAACACAGGCATGCAAGAAAACTATGAAATTATAATACAAAGTATATTTGTGTGAAACCGCATATCATTGGACATTTATAGCTAAAGATATGCAAATCCAAACACATTCTTCACAAGTGAATGGTTTAGAACAGTTGCAAGAACAAGAAATCATAGTTTATAACAGAACAAAGGAAATTAATAAAATAAAACAGAAAGCACAAGACATTAAAAAACGGATATAACATTAGATACAGTTACACAGAATTGAATGATATATATATCCAACAACAGAAACAACAAAACAAAACAAAAACTGCTTTTTATTTTATATATGTAATGAAAAATTTCAATCTGATCTCATTTTGTTGATTTGATTAAGAGCAGGCTGCAGAATATTATAGAGTACCCAAAGAATAGCAGGTGCTACAACAAACAACAGAAGCTGACCCCTATTATCACTACCAGCTTCAGCAATAGCAGCAATTTCACTAGCCATTGCATCTTGCGTTGACACAAACCCTGAAGCAGTCAATCCACCAAGGCCCAAACCAATGATAACCCCTTTCGTGTTACGCATTCGGTTGATTTGGTTAAGTGCTGGTTGAAGAATGTTGAACAGAACCCAAGCTATGGCTGGAATTATAGGTAACAGAAGTGCTAAACCACGGTTATCTGATGATGCTTCAGCTATGTCAGCTATTTGTTGTACTGCAAAAGCAGGGTTACAGGCTCCGAGGGTTGAGAATATTGCTCCTGCAAGTGCTGTTCCTGCTATGGAAGTTGATAGTTTGGTGTTTTCTGTTGTGGTGGTTTCTTTTGAAAGAAGGTTCTTGAGGGAGAGGAGTGAAGTGGGTTTTGTAATGAGTTTTGTTGGGTTGTGGAACTTTGGTGAATTAGGAGTGTTGAAGCACTTTGTGTTCATCATGGTCATTGAGATTATGGTTGATGCCATTGTTGATGAATGTGTGAAAGTGTTTGTGTTGAGAGTGTGAATGATGTGTGGATTTTGCAGGTTAGGAGAAATTTTTGGGTTAGAATTATATTTGGTAAAGTTAAGTTGGAGAAATGAGAACCAATGGAATTGTGGTATTAAGATTCTTTTCTTATCCGAATTGATATGCGATTTGGACCTTATATTTTGAGTGCATTTCTTATCACTTCACTTTTGTTTTTTGTGTTTTCTCAAAGAGATGTGATATGAAGACTTAAATTGTGACGAGGGAAATGGGACATATTCATGTATGATGTATCGTGATAGTAAAATGGAACACATTCATTGTTCGGTATAGTCAATAGTGTTATTTGTTTTTATTATAAAAATAGATAAAATTTCTTTTGTAAAATACTTATTTTGTCATTAATTAATTTTAGAGAAATAATAACTAGAGTTTCGTTTAAGATCTTATTGATTAATAAGGCTTGTGAAAAGTGGAGAATATGTTTTTATTATACAAACCTCAAATCTTGTTTTCCAAATATTTGTATCCATGGTCATATATAGACATGTTAGTAGATAGTTCGACTGATTACAAACTCTTATCGTTCATGGATTCGTACTCCAGATATAACTCGATACACATGAATGATTCAGACAAAGAGAAAATAGTCTTCATGATTGAGAGATCCAATTATCAATAAAATGTGATGTCATTTTCTCTAAAGAATGTGAGAGAAACATACCAGAGGATTATGAATAAAGTCTTCAAGGAAGAAATAAATGAAATACTATAAGTTTATATGGATGAAATGTTCGTCAAGTCCAACAAGAAAGAACTATATGATGAGCACCTCACTAGAGTATTCAAGAGAGTTTGGCAGACTCATTCTAGAAAAAAATACACCTTTGAGGTCAGATTCAGCAAAGTTCTGAGCCTTTAGCTAACAGAAAGGGGCATAGAAGCGAATATGAACAAATGTGATGCATTCATCAAGATGGGAGCTCTAGAAATGAAGAATGAGGTTATGAAGTTGAATGGGATGTTGATGGCCTTCAACAGAGACATTTCCAAAATGGCTCAGCACACTATGTCATTCTACAAGTTGTTGAGGAAAGATGTACGCTTTGAGTGGACCCTAGAGTGCAAGCAAGCATTTTTATCTTATTGCGGCGCAAAAAATACCCGAGCGAACAAGCGTTTGAATGACAATGAAGTTGCCACCGAAGTTTATTTTTTAAAGGGAAATATCAATAAAACCCTTGAAGAAAAAAATAAGGTTATCACAACAAAATTTAAATTCAAAAATCGATTATGCGCAAGGAAGATGTTAGCATGTTCTGATATCTATTGTAACCAACATAAGTCGTTTAATTAGCTTTGAAATAAATGTTAACTTAAAATATTTGGTTTCTTCAAGTTATCAAAAATATTTACAAGAAATAAAAAAAGACCAAAAAAGATTTTTATTAGAGTACCTGAGAAGATGTTGAATCTTGCTCCTACGTATTCCCAGATGCAATGAGAAACTCAAAGCTACGTAGTCCTTGCGAGAATAATAGATTTTTCATTATGGTGTTTGATAAGATGTTGAATCTTTCTCTTACGTATCCCTGGGTGGGATGAGATACTCAAATCTACGTAGTTCTTTATAGCAAATGTTTATTGGTTGATTGGTTTTAATGAAAAATGTTTTGATCGCATTTGCGTGGAAAAACATTACTTATTGATCGCATTAAGGCGGAATGAAGCCTTTGTTTGTACACCACGTTAGAACGGATAGAACATTAATCATTGATAAAAAATATTTAAAAAAAATATTTGTTTGCACTATGGCAAAAATAAATTTGTTTGATTAGTTGTCGTTGTTTTATGATGGTAGACAAATAATCAACCTTAAACAACGTGAATACCTTGCATTCAATTACTCAAGGACAAATCGAATGTACATCCGACTACCCCCTTTTAAGCCAAGTTTTAATTAATGTGTTTTCTTAATGGAAAACGAGTTATCAACCTTAAACAAGGTGTGCACCTTGCGTCCGATTACTCGAGGACAAAGCGGATGCACATCTGATTATCCTTTTTAATTTGAGCTTATATATATGTCACAATTGTACTCAAATGCATATTGAAAACAATATTTATGCATGTTTTCTTGTATGAATCTAATTGGTTGTGTCTTGTAATACTTTATGAATTATTTCAATCACATTTTCAACATTTGAGACAAGTACAAATGAATGATAGCTCAACACTTATTGAGAGTGAAAATAAATTGGTTTCTGAATCCCATAATAGTGAAAAGATTGAAATACATAATAATCAACATTTCAGAACTTTCATCATTAAAAGTAATATGTATGCATACTTTCTTACTTTGATCTAAGTGGTTGTCTCCCGTGCTACTTCATAAAATATTCCAATTATATTTTTAATTAAGGTATTATCTTTATATTATCAATGATCTCATTTAAATAAATTATTTTATAGAAATTTTTTGGATGAATAGAAAAAGAATTGATTTAATGACAATATCAAATGAAAACAAATGATCATAGTTAGTATTTTTTAATATTGTTTTAATATTTTTCTCCTTTCTCAAAGTAACAATTTTCTCTTTCTATACTTTCCTATTTTATTTTTATTGTAATCTTTATTCTTTTTCTCTTTATTTTTTTATGTGAGTTTGGAGTGAGACAATGAATTCAAACATAAATTCCTAATTTATAAATATTATTTTTATTGTATAAAAAAATTATAAAAATGGTAATTAGTGTGTATTTTATAATAAGATTTTATTACATATTAATTTTTTTTAATTTCATTTCCCAAATCATGTTTGCTTATAGATAGCCAACAAAATATATTAACATTTTTTTTCGTTTTTAATTTTAACTATTAAAATTTATTTTTATTTTTCATATTTGCTGTTAATGTCTTCATATTCTAAAAACCTAGCTACACTAAGGTACCGCCTTTAATTCTATCGAATGTGATCTAATTCTCACGAAATTCCTCTCTTATTCTCTCATGTTTTAAATTATAGTAAGAACTTAGTTATGCTAAGGAACCACCTTGAATTCCACTGAATGTGATCCAACCCTCTGGAGATAAATGAATTGAATGAAGTAAAGGCTTGACACCCCTATTTATAGGCTTTGGAAAGATATGTTTGCTAAGCGCATCGCCCAGGCTCACTTAATGCGCATTTTTTCTTCTTGTTTAAGTCATGTTGGTTACCTTTGGCCTAGCTTTGCCTTGTATGCTCGCTAAGCAAACTGTCTAAGCTCACTTAGGCACCAAACCCTTGATTCACCTTGAAATAACTTAACCCTGAATACTTTGAACAACCTTTTCTCGATAAGCGCGTATGTGTTTCTTGGCTTAGAAAGGATGCGCCTTTTCTCGCTAAGTGCACCTGTATTCTTATCCTAGCGAACCTTGTTTTGTTGGGAAAGTTCTTGGTTTGGTCTCTTATGTTGTTTTGGTAGATTTCCTGATCTTTTTACCTGTATTTTATAAATGTTAAAATGTACAGGTAGACATTTTATCATTTTTACTGATAAATGAGGGGGTTTTCATTTGATTTCTTGTAAAAGAAGTTAATAAGTGCATACGTTTTAAAAATATTTGTGGAAGTTATCAAATCTTCCCAACTTATCTTTTTGTTTGTACACAAACAAAATTCATTCAAATGGTTCAGAAGAATTTCAAATGTGTTGTGAAAGAATGTCGTCAATAACAGAACAAAATTCTGAGATAAGATTAAGTTTTCTTGAACAAACATAAGAAACCCTATTAGGTTTCACAAAGAAGAGAGAGAGAGAGAGAGAGAGAGAGAGAGAGAGAGAGAGAGAGAGAGAGAGAGAGAGGAGAGAGAGAGAGAGAGAGAGAGAGAGAGAGGAGAGAGAGAGAGAGAGAGAGAGAGAGAGAGAGAGAGAGAGAGAGAGAGAGAGAGAGAGAAGATGGAAGAAGAAGAGAATTGGTTTAAACTGTTTTATTATTCACTTTCTCAATAAGGGTTCAAAGATTACAAGTGAATAACAACTATTAACCTCTCTCAACAACCTGAGAGAACCAGTTTATTTATAGACTACTAAGCTAACTTAACAATTGGATTTACAAGCAACACCTAATTCGACATGCTAACTTAAACACAAAGCTAACATATTTCAACAAAATGCTTGAACAAACTTCGACTACAGCATGCACAACTCATGTCGAACCATAAAGCTACCCTTGTTGACACTAGAGTTCAATCCAAATACCATAAATCTCCACCTTAGAGCAAACTCTACACTAACAAGGGAACAAACTAGCTTTCATCATACAACTTTATCAACTACATACAGTGGAAAAACTTGCTACTTGGAAATGTCTTGGTGATCATATCAGCGGATTTGTCATCATTCGAAACCTTTAGCACTTGGAATTCTCCATGCTCAACTATCTCCCTGACAAAGTGCAAGCTCACACCGATGTGCTTGGTTTGCTCATGATAGGTTAAATTCTTCGACATGTGTATTGCACTTTGAGTATCACATTTAACATTGATAACTCGACCTTGAAGTTTCAACTCCTCAACAAAACCTTCAAGCCAAAATGCTTCTTTAACAACTTCAGTGAGGGCGATATATGTAACACCCAAAATTTAATTGGAATATTTTAATTAATTTATTTAATTGAGAATATTCATATTTTGGTGGTTTTCGGTGGTTTTGTGGATTATTGGAAATTATGGATTTTTGGATTATTTATTTAATTAATAGTATATAATATGGAAATATTAGTATTATTATTAGTTAAAATAAATATAAGTGAAATAAGGGTAATTTGGGCATTAAGAGAAGTTAGTAAGGGTGTTATAGAAAAAGCTCAATTGTGTGGCCCAAGACTAGGTTTGACAAAAAGGAATTCTGAAGGAAATTAGGATTCATTTTGTTAACCGTGAAAAGTATTGAGGCCAGAGCTCTGAGGAGAAGATTGGAGGCAGAAGCTTCGAGAGATTTCCTGAAAGATTGAGAAAGCTTTGATCGACAACTAAGGTATGAGGA